ATACTCGTGCATGTGCACACACATGTGGCAGGGCTGGGGATGGGTAGATGGAAAAGGCTTACAGGCATTGGCACCCAAGAGTAGTCCAGGAAAGGCTGGCCTCTAGTGCCCATCATGCACCCACTGACTACATGCTTGACCATGATTCTGGGAAATGTGGAGAGGAAGGCAGCAGAGACCCAGGGCTGCCAAGATGGGAAATGGAAACACTCAGAACCTGTTTTCAACTCCTGGGACCACTCCTCCTAAGAACTGAGCATGGAAAGAGTGGACAGGACTGCTTATGTGTAGCCTGAAAGTTCTGTAACTTCCTGCACATTAAATCCAACTGAGGCCTATGCCTAGTTAATAGGAATGGGTGGGGTTTGTTGATGTCAGGGCTTTTGTTTGTTTTCTTCAGTGTTGGGGATGGAACCCAGGGCCTTGCACATACAGGCAAGTGTTCTATCATAGAGTTACACACTCCCAAGGATGACATCAGTTTTTTGCTTTTTTTTTGGTGTTGGGGATTGAACTGGGGTACTCTACCACTGAACTACAACACTTCTTTCATTTCTAAGTTTTTAAAAAATTTGAGATGGTGTCTTGCTAAATTGCCCAGTCTGGGGGCTGGGGATATGGCTCAAGTAGTAGCGCGCTCGCCTGGCATGCATGAGGCACTGGTTTGATCCTCAGCACCACATAAAAATAAAATAAATATATTGTGTCCACCTAAAGCTAAAAAATAAATATTAAAAAAATTGCCCAGTCTGGCAATTGTGATCCTCCTGCCTCAGCCTATTGAATCTCTAGGATTACAGGCATGTGCAACTGCAGCCAGCTAACATCAGAAATTCTTAAAGCTCTCAATATTATTTCTAGGTGCAACTCTATTTGAGAACTATGATGCAGATATAGATCAGTAGTTCTCAAAGTGTGGTGTCTGGTCCAGCTGGATCATTGATGCTTAAATGATGTGTCAGAAATGCACATTCCATTCACTCAGTGATCGAGTGCTTACCTAGCATGTGCTGGGTTCCATCCCCAGCACCAGAAAACTAAAAAAGAATGCACATCCTTGGGTCCCAGCCAGACGCAGTGATGAAACATTCCACACGGCTTTGATGCATGCTAAACTTTGAGGATCATGAGTGTAGACAGTTCCTGAGCAACAGGACCCAGGAAATCAAGCTTGTTTCCTTCCTCTCCCAGTACTGCTGCCACCCAGCAGAAACCTTTAGTTTGTAAGGATATTGTGAATTTGGCTTGGAGATGGTCTATAGCTGATCGTGGCTTGTCTGCATTGAGATGTGCTGTGTTAAATACACATCAGATTTCAAAGACTTAGCACCCACACCCAGAAGGAAACATTAATTTTCCTACATGGATTACATGTTGAGATGCTATTTTTAAAAGGTTTTTAAAATAGCTTTATTTATTTATTTTTAATATGGTGCTGAGGATCGAACCCAGTGCCTCACACATGCTAGGCCACAACCCTAGCCCAAGAGATGCTATTTTTGATATATTTGGTTAAATAAAAATATCACTAACATGAATCTGACCTCTTGTTTTTATTTTCGTGGTGCTGGGACTGGAACCTGGGTCCTCATGCAATGTGAGGATGCACTTTGCCACCCAGCTGCACCCCAGCCCTTGTTATTTTAAAAATGTGTCTCTGAGAAAACTTAAAATGACACATGTGGCTCACTTTATATTTTTATTGGTCCGGGATAGTCTATAAAAAAAATCTTACAACTGCACGAAAACTCAGAGGAGCTAACTCAAATCAGTATGGGAGAGCTTTAGAACCCCCTCGAAGTCTTTTAGACCTAGACTGTGGACTAAAAAAATTCTTGATGGAGCCAGAAATGGTCTCTAGAAGAGCAAGGGTCTTGGTGTCCAGTCCCGACTCAGTTTACCTCTCACGTCCGTTTTCCTCATTTGTAAATGAGGGTTGATGATCATACCATGTGCCAAGAATTATTAGGGAAAACCAGGGCTTTTTGCTCAAAAGCACAAAATCCGGGTCTCCACTCTGAAAATGCTGAGGGATCCAAAAGCTGTCCCCAGGGGAGCAGCTGCGATCGGAGGAACGCGACTGAGTCCAGGCTCCGCCACTTGCTTGCACTGGACAGGTGAGTTTCACTTTTCTCAGCCCAGGATCTTTTTTCCAGTCCAAGGATGGGGTGGGGCTTAGAGATTCCACGCTGGGATTCCCTGAGACTGTCACACTCCGCGCGCGCCCCAGACACTCGGCGAATAACAGTCAGCTGCCAGGTTCCTAGAGCCAAAATCTAGCGGAGAAAAAGTCTGACAGGGCCCTTCGGAAACGGAGCGCCAGCACTTTTCCTAGGGTACGTCGGGAAATGTAGTCTTTTACTCCAGAACAAAACCTTTTCCGGGTCAAAACGGGTGGGTGGGCGTGGCCCTATGGCTCTTCCTCCAGTGGGCGTTGAATTTCCCGGCTCTCGAAACTTGCGGTTTTCTGGGTTCCGGTTGTTGACAGGCACCACTACTTCCCGGTTTGCTTCACGTGCACCTCTGCGCATGCGCCAAACTCTCCCCTAGCCTACGGGTCGACTAGAGTTTTATTTCCAAAAACTACGTTTCCCAGAAGGCGGCGCTAGTGGGCGGGGTTACCCGCCCCAAGAGGAGGGGCGCGGCGCTCGGAGCGGACGCTGAGCCTGTGACCTCTTTCTTTCTTTTATTTAACACAAAACTGGTGTGTCTGCACTCCCGGCTCCGCGGCCGGCCGGCCGGACCGGGCTGGACTTAGTGCAGACTGGCCAGCCCGGCCTGGCCCCTTGGAAGGCGAGGCCAGGCTGCGCTAGGAGAACGAGTGAGCCCCTCCCCTGGCCCCTCTCTGGGAGTTTGGAACTGTCAAGCTCCAGCCCCCACCTTCTTCCCCAGGTTCAAGGCCCCTGCGCAGTCCACGCCGGAGGCCCGACAGCGCTGGGGGGCCGAGCCGGGCCTGCCTGACCCATGAGAATCTGCACCAGCAGGTCGGTGGCCAGCATGTGCGACGGCTCCTCGAAGCCGATAGTCAGCAGCTGTTGGTAGTCCCCAGGAGGCTGCGGGCACAAAATCCTAGGGGGCCAGGGACAGACAGGCCTGGACGTGAGCGCCCCCTGCCCCTTGGGAGCACTTTTCGCTTTGTTTCAGCTGTGGGTGTATTGGGGGGGGGGTGGGAATCCTGAGGGAAGTTGTTTCCTTGTTGATGAGAAACTTAGAGCCGTGGTTCCCCTGGGGTGACCGCCAATCACTCTACTTGCTGTATGTCCTTGGGCAGGTAACTTAACCTCTCTGAACACCTGTTTTCTTCCTTGTAAATGGGGCCACTACTTTAGATCTCAGTGGGCTGTTACACGAGTCTGCATAAAGCACTTTTTGGGACACAATAAAATGTTATTGGTTTACCAAGGGAAGTGAAGTGCCGAGGCTTTCCTAGATGATGGGATCCTGTCCTTCCCCCCAATTCCACCTTGCCACTGCCCTGGCTCCTACCATGAATAAAGGTCATCTTCAGCTGGCCCTAGGGGCACCCATCGGCCGATGGACCACAGCTTCTGGATCTGGGGACACGAGTTGGCTGGATTCTGGCCTGTGTCCTCCCATGTATCTCGATAGCACAGGAAGTAGCTGGGAGGGGAGAGAGAGCAGCAGTTAAGTGTGATGATTTCCCAGCTTTTCTGTGGAAGGCTTTAATTTTGAGGATGAGATTGAAACTTATCAAAGTTGCCCTGAAATTCTCAGGGATGTGGCTCTCTTTAAAATTCTACTTTTATTTTCATGGGAGGATGGGGCTAAAAAGGGGCGGGGGGTGCTGGGGGTGCAGCTCAGGGGTAGAACCCAGCCTGTGCTAGGCCCTGGATTCCATCCCCAGTGTGGGGTGGGGAGGTCTTTCAAAGCTACTTGGTTTTCTGGGTTTTCACTCTTTGGTACTGGTTCAAAGGCCCAATATGGCATTCAGCATAGGAAGAGGAGGACTTTGATTAAGGGACTCACTAATCCACATGGGGATCTTGTCCTCGATTGCTGGGCTCTGGGGTGGTTTCCAGGTTCCAGCGCATTTTCTTATAGAGGTACCGGGGGAAGCGGCTGGCGGTGTAGGCGGCTGGGGTACAGTATCTGAAGATGGACACTTCGTGGGAAGGGCTGATGGAGAACCTTCCACAGAAGAAGCAGGAGATGCTGGCAGGACACGGGAAGGCACATGAGGCTGGACCCTGGCTCCACCACTGTCCCCATCCTTGTCTCCTCTTTTACCTCAGGGGGTCAGTCTCCTCCAGGTCCACGAACCCAAAGGAGGCATACATGAGGACCAGCTGTTCCAGGCGTAGAGTCAGCTGTTGGGAGATCTCCAACAGCTGCACGGAAGGGGGATGGGCATAATGAGAGGGCCCGCCAGAAGCAACCCCTTCACCCCCAGGCCTGTGTGGGGCCTCCAGAAGAAAGAGGCACAGGGACTGGGAAAACGGCCCCACACACCCCCTTTCGAACCAGCTCCTGCAGGGCTCCATAGATGGGGGGCATGCTCCTCGCTGCAGCCTCCAGGTATAAGAAGTAAGGCTCACACATCTTTAAGAAGGTGGGCATGGCCTTTGCCAGCTGTTCCTTCTGCACTCGGTCCCTGCTAAAGGGAGAAGGGGGCCTTTAGGACCCCTCACACCCTGCCCCCAGTTTCTCCCATCCTGTTCACTCCCCACCTGTATCCCTGGCCTCCACCCTTGTTACACGCCCTTCTCAGGGCATCTTTGATTTGGAGCACTTGCTAAATGCTGACACCTGAGTCCCTCAACTGACTTTTGCTCAAAATTCCCTGTAGGATGAAGCTCAGAAATTTAGGGTTTCAACAAGACTCCCAGGGGATTCCAGTGGGCAACGACACTTAAGAATCAGAGTCCCTTTTCCCCTGGTCTGGGAATCACATTATCCTCTAGGGTCTCAAATTGGTAACCCAGGGGCCACATCTGCCTCAGTTGGGTTTTGTTTAGGTGCCCCGGAGTTCATTTAAAAACAGGGAGAAAAAGTTCCAGGGACTTGGCAACCTCTGGGCAGTCTTAGCAGTCGCCAGCCCCAGTCCCATGGTCCTCTTCACTCTCAGAAATGTATGCCTCATCAACCAGCTTCACTGACTTTCTCCATTTGGCTCCTGATGCTTTTGAGTTTGTGACCCTGGTGGGGGCTGCCGACCCTGTCTTTGATTTGGAGCATCTACCATCTCCCATCTCCCTAAGCCTGGGGACCTAGGACCCCATCCAGGATCACCTGTAGAGCAAGTAGCTTTGGAAGTCATCTGCCTTCTTAAGCAGGTAGCGGAGCTGTTCCGTGATGGGGCTGAACATAGCGTCCAGGGGTAGGCGAGCTGGGGTCGGCCCCCGGTCAGGGGCTGGAGGCTCGGGGGAAGGCATGGAGGCAGGGACCTCCAGCAACTGCCCCTGGGCATCCTCTGGCTCCAGCTCGGGTGGGTCCTCAGGCCTGCCGGGCGGCGTTGACCACGAGGGATCTCTGCAGGGCTGCGTCCCGGGTTCCAAGTCGTCCAAGGGCGGCGTTTCTCCAGGGCCCAGGGGGAGCGGCCCCACGAACCACTGCTCCGAAGCCATCAGGGGCCGGGGGCGGGGTCCGCACTCTTTAAGTCTCCGCAGCTCACGTTGGTGGCGGGCTCAATCCCGCCCAAGGAGCCCAGGAAGCCTGGGACTTGCCTGGACCGGGAGCGCCGCCGCCTTTAACTCGGCCCTGCCTCGACCTCTCGGCCGGCTCCGCGCCGGGCGGGCGGAGTTCGCCTCGTTTGAATTTCAACACGCGGGAGAGGCGCGCTGCTCTGCCGGCTCCGCGCTGCGCACCCGCGGGGCCCCGCGCATCCGCGCGCTCCCGGCACCTGGCACTGGGGAGGAGGGACCCGCCGAGGGCGGAGACCCAGGCCCGCGCTGGGGCGGCTACATCCTGGGGGTGTGGCCGAGGATCAGCACCTTTTTCTCTAGCAGCTGGTTTTCTAGGGAGGAGGGGTCTCTACCGCGTGTCCCAACCCAGAGAGGGATGCTCAGGCTCCACCCCTGTGACTCCCTGGCTTTTTTTTTTTTTAAACGAATGGAGTTGAGAAACAGCACATGAACTTAGTGGTAGTGACAACTACTACATCACAAGTCCCTACTAACAATAAAAAAATCTTTGCTTGGAAGATTTTCCCTATTCCATCACCTCATCTGATGGCCGGTGGCTTCTGTTCATACCCTGGTCCCAGCACAGATCTCTGCCCCTAACACTTATAGACTGGATTCTTTACCGCATGCAAAGGCCGGCAGTATAGAACATTAGCTACGAAGCCACGTACATTAATTACATTTAAAGGTTCTAGGTAAAGAAGGCAACAGGTAGTTGGGTGAGGTGGTGCACGCCTGTAATCCCAGTGACTGGGAAGGCTGAAGCACCAGGATTGCAAGTTCAAAGCCAGCTTGGGCAACTTAAATGAGACCCTGCCTCAAAAATAAATTTAAAAAAAATTTAAAAATAAAGAATAAAAAAAGGGCAGGGGGTGTAGCTCGGTGGTAAAGCACCCCTGGACTCAATCCCAAGTACAGCACCCCCACTAAAAAAAAGTCAACAGGTGTCAGATCTCCCCCATGTGACCATGAGCATCTTTTGCTGTGCTGAGCTAGATGGCTCACCTATAAAGTGGGTTTTTATGAGCTCTCTGCCTCATGGGACTGCTGAGGGGACAATCAAGAAAATGCTCATAAAACATGGAGTTAACAGTTAGTCACTCTACAAACATTTGAGCACCTACTGTGTATGCTGGGAAGTTCTGAGAATGGGGAAATGACAGAAGATAAAGCAAATATTCCCATTCTCCTACAGCGACTCCTCCTCCTCCCTTCTCTCTGCAGTGCTAAGGAACCAAACCCAGAGTCCAGTGTGCTAGGTGAACGCTATCCCTGAGCAATGACTAGAGCACGGTCCAGACGGCCAGATCACTACTTTTTCTCCTCCCCAAACTGCTTAAGTGCACCTAGGAGGCTCTTCAACACCCCTCCCCAACTCCATTCATAAAATGGACTCTTTTTTTTTCCCCTTTTCTTTTTTTAAAATTTTATTTAAAAAACCTTCGGTGCAATATTAAAAAGCAATACAGCCAGCTGGAGCAATGATCGACAGAAGGGAGAGGAGAGGAGAAGACCCAGGGACCCACCCCAGATGCTCCCCAGGGGCTGGAGGCCAGGGGCAGCAGGCTGGGAGCAGGCATGGGTGGTGGGGGAGGAAGGAAAGACCACCCACCAAAATGAACAGGCAGAACAAAACATTTATATAAGAAACATCTGGCTGAACTGAATCTCGGGGAGATGGGAGGCCCCCCCTTATTTTTTTTTCAAAAATGTCCTGGGTTGAGGGGAGGGTTGGCCTTTGGGGTGAATGAGCAGGCCCAGTCCCCCCCCATACTCTACTTCTGTAGAGCAGGGCATGTGTTGGGGGGCAGATGTGTTTGAGACAAAGGGGAGAGAGAGCAGAGAAGGGCGCCCCCCTCACTGGAGTCTGTTATGAGGGCTGAGGGTGTCCCCATCCAGCTCATGGACTCTGGGGGTCTTGGGCAAGATGGGGGTTGGAGTGGGTAGGGGTAGGGCAAGGCTGGGTGCTCAGCCCAAAAAGCCATCCGGGTCATCATCCTCAAAGTGGCCTTGCTGAAGCACCTTGATATGATGCTCATAGATTTTCAGGGCGGGGCCCAAGCGGATAGACAGACCGGTGAGCACGTCTGTGCGTTGCATGAGCAACAAAGACTTGCCGTCGATTTCCTGGGAGGGACAGAGACAGGGAGGATCAGAGCCTATCCCTGCCATGGTCCTCTGTGCATATGTGTATAAAGTCCTGGGCTGGGAACTCACCTGTTCTTGGAAAGCTGTGGCCTGCTCCGGGAAGCCTGCCTCCGTGAAGTACTCCACCACGTCCATCACCGTCCACTCCACGGGGTCAGTCGGCTTCTCCTTGCGTCCGGGACTGCATCAAAACAGAGGGTACCAGTAAACACTGATGCCCCTCTAGTTGTTACATACACCTGGGCACTACCCCCATGTCTCAAGTGCCCCAACTTACGGACAGCCAAAGGGGGTCCCGTCGGCCCCAGGTAGGGCTGGTTTTCCTGGGGGCAAAGGCACAGGGGATGGGGAATCTGGCCCGGTGGCAACAGAGGCTACGAAAGAAAAAGGACCAGCCTGTGGCATTGTCTTGGGACTGGGGTTCCTCTCTGAACAGCGAACACCCTCCCAGCAGTCCTTACCTGATCCCCCTTCCTTATTCATGGCGGCCATGGAGAACACCTGGCGGCTGCCACTGCCAGGTACAGATCCCCGCACTTCATCCTGGCCCTGATGGGGTCCACAGGGCGTCCACTCCTTGACCCTCTCCTTGGCAGTCTGAGGGCCCCTCTCGCCATTAACCTGGTGGTGCTGGGCACCTGCAGGACGGTCACTCTCGGGCACTTCTGAGCCCTCAGATACATCATCATCATCATCTTCCTCTTCATCATCTTCCTCTTCCTCTTCTTTCTCAAGCACTCGCTCTTCTCCTCTCTGGGGCCAGGGAGAGAAGCATAGCAGCTGTTCTAATCGTGGACCCAGATCCTGGGATCCCAGGCCGAGTCGTGTACCCAATGCCACCTTTAATAACAATACGGACTAACTTTTACGCAGTCACTTCGTGCCAGGCTTTGTGTTAATAAAGCCTTCACTAGCCAAATCTCACTAAAGTCGCTCAACAACCCCAAGGGGTCGCTACTGTGATCAAGTGGCATTTACATCTGAGGAAACTGAGGCTCGGCAAGATTAAACCACTTGCCAAGGTCACCACGCG